AAAAAATTAAAATTGATACTGATAACAGTGATTTGAATATTAGCAATTTTACGATAGCCTTTATAATAACAATTTAATATCTGGTCATTTTATTTGTAAAATAATAAAGTGCAATATATGCACGTGTTTTTGACGCAATTTTGTATTGGACACTCCTACACTAGATGATACAGTTTTCATTTTATAATTATTTTAATATTTTACGTGTTCAAAATATGTAATAAATTTTAGTGTCCCCGATATGTCAAACTCAAAATATTAAATAACAAAATTTTATTTATTTAAATTAAAACATTTTGAAATTGAAGTATTGGAATTTTGGAATTCTGGAATTCTGGAATTTTGGAATTTTGGAATTTTGGAATTTTGGAATTCTGGAACTTTTGAATTATTGTAATTTTGGGATTATAGAATATTGAAATTTAGCGTCTTAGTAATTTGTGAACTTTACAATTTTTAAATTTTAAAACTTTGAAAAGAAATATTAAAATAAAACTTATTTAAGAAAATATGGTTCTTAGTAAATCTGCTACATTTCTGAAACCATTCCCTTCTCTTAATGCCCTAAGCATAAAAAATAATCATGATAATTAATCCAGCTCTGAGTGGCATAAACAAGTCTTGTTGCCTGACATTTTTGTTCGACTATCATTTACAGCGGAACAAAATGTTGTTTTATATTACAAAAGCTCTTATCAAACAAATAACATAGCAATCATTGCTCACAATCCTTTTGTATTGTATCTACAAAAGGCAAACAGCAATTATCATAACATAAAGTAAATTTTTTTATAGGTTTGAATAGTTTTTACGATGATAATAACAGTTATTGTATTCTTCATATTACATCATGAACTAATTTAAAACTTGTCTAATCTTTTTATTTACTTCTTTTGAAGAGAACATTAAGAGATTAATATGCAGAACATTTACCACTCGGAGCAAAAATAAATTTTATTTAAAAAATTAGTGTTCTATAATTTGAATATCACCGATATTTTAAATACATAAATGTTTCCATTACGACAATGTTTTGTAATCTGTTGTAAAAATTTCAGCAACAATGTTCTGTAACTGATATATCAAATAATTTGATTTGTTCAAGTAGTTCAAGAGTAATGTTAAAGCAAAAATAAACGCGTTGCAGCCATAAATTTTGATAGATCGTGAAACATGCCGTGTAGAGTTCACTTATGTTAGATCGGAAATAGAAAGCATTTATACATATAACATGACTTTATCATAAACAATGTAACATAATGTTCATATTCTGTACTTTACTTTAAAAAATAAAAATATTAGAGAAATTAAGAAATTGTAACGATTTCAATTAAGTTGTCAAAAAGTTGTCACGGATTTCAACAAATTTAAAACAAGTTGTCAAGTTCATTATTCTAAACAATTTTTTTTACTTAGGTATTCTATTTTGGTTATTCAGTTATAAATGATGATATATTACATACTGCATGATGCTGTTAACATGTTACTTTTTCGTGAACTTTAACAATTCAATTTTTATACCTTTAGTGACGTATAATCAATGAAAAAGTAAAAGAAATATCAGTAATTAAATTCCGAATGTAAACAAGTACAATGAAATGATTAAATTATAAGAAGTATTGTATAACAATATTTAACTTTTTTTGAAGATAACAATATATTTTCGTAAAACGTATTTTTTGTGTAGTTCTTGTGAAGTTAAATTTGATTTGATTGATTTTAGAAGACAGCTCCCGTATGGGATGATCAAAAACGAAATAGCTTTATATGGATGCGATGTACTTTTGATGATTATATCAAACAAATTTTTGCACATAACTCGAAAACTAAATGAGAGTATTCATTACGTGTATACAAGAAAATTGTTCATAATGATAACCTGAACAATATAATTTAAGGTTATTGAAATCAGTGAAGCGGTAGCTTTCTGACAGTTTTACTGAAGTTTTCACGTACTTTGTGAATTATGTTCATATTTTACGTGCATATTTGCATATATCGCGTGCTTAAATGCCATATTCTTCTTGCATATTTTACATGCACAAACATCCGCAGTATAATAATAAAAAAAAGGAGGTACACTCGAGTGGAACGTAGACTTCCTTTGGGGAAGGACAAACATGATAATTTAAAAAATTTCCAAATTATTGAATTTGCAAATTTCCATATTTCTAAATTTGAAAAATTAAATTCTCAAGATTTCAAATATTTAAATTTAGAAATTTTTAAGTTTTCAAGTTTCTAAATTTTTAAGTTTCTAAACTTCTAAATTTCTAAATTTTTAAATCTCTAAATTTCTAAATTTTCAAATTACCAAATTACCATATTACCAAATTACCAAACTTCCAAATCACTAAATTATTAAATACGCAAGTGACCACTTCTCAGATTATTATATCTCCAAATTACAAAATTAGCAAACATGCGAATGATTACATTGCGAATGATACTCTCAAATTATTAAATTATAAAATATCCAAATTTCGAAATTACTGAATTTGCAATTAACCAATTTTCAACTTATTAAACTTCCAAATTTCAAAATTTCAAAATTTCTTATTCTTTAAATTTTTCATTTCTCCAATGTCTTACTTTCTAAATTTCCATCTTTACATGCAGCCAAATTTTCTAAATTCGCACATTTTTAAATCTCCAACTCTCCAATTCCTCAAATTCCCAAGTTTCGAGGTACGAAGGTCTTCAAATTTGTAAAATGTCCTACGGAAGCCAGATTTGCTCCTGACCTCCATGTGTACCACCCTTTCGAGGCAACAACGCATATCACGCGTATGAAATAGTAGTTTTCAGGTATTTGAAAGAGCGGGGTTCCCCTACATCGCTTTCTCCGTGGAAGGCTAGCATGCTCGTTAGTGTACAAAGTGTTCGTCGTCCGCCGAACGGGATCGTCGAGAAAATTCGAAGTTGGAAATCCGTTTAATAGAAAGGAAAGAAAAAAGCTCGGAAAGGCGATGCGATCTAACGGCGTGGAAGGCGTGTCATTGTAACGAGCGGTTGTGTCGTTGTAATTAGTATTTGGCCTATGGTTGTCCCGTGGAATTATAAACGCAAACGTCGGCTATTAGAAAACGAAACAGTTGATCGAGGACGATCAACGAATACATTAATTTCCACACGGCATTAGCGAAAACATTTTTATCGGAGACGCTGCAAAAGGGAATACCTGTAAACGGCTATTTAATGGAAATAGTTCAATCTGAATCGGTGCGCTCTCTTGGCTGTTCGCGTAATTAGTTCATTCGCGAACGATCCGGAACGCGAAGCTATTCTATACGCGACAGCGAATCGTTTTTACGGATTAAAAGTCGAGTTTTCTGCTCGTTACATCGGCCTCGCCGTTTGATAAGACCCGTCTCTCCCCGCGGGTAATTACGTCTTTCGAAATAACGAGGGGAGACTGAGCGAACAACCCGTCTCGGCCGACACGCTCCTTCGTGACGTACCATGAAAACACACTTTATTTCACGTTCCAACCCCCTTCCGTCGACACTGACCACATCTATTTTTGCGGCGATTATCGGAAATGTGGCTCGGAACCGAAGCGAGTTGAACTTGGAGAGGTTTGTTAAGTGAGCTACGTTATTCGAGGTGTCTACTGCATTTCATACGCAATTTTTGGTGCACAAATCACACGTGATTTCAAATTAGATATAAAATAGAAAAATAAACAAACGATGAAACATAAATTAATATACATTAATGCTTTATCCTTATAAAAACCAAACCAGATTTCAAGAAAATCTAAGGAACTTTGTAATTTAGAAAAGAAAACTTGTGAATGAGTCAGGTGACCCGTTTAGTAGTTTAACAAAAATATAAAAATTAAAAATTCCTAACGGAATGTGTAATTGAAGTCAAGCAACGACGAGTATATACATCGAACAAAAAATTAGCTGAAATCGAACGAAAAATTAAAAATTTGATTTTTTAATTATTATACCAAAACTAGTAATGTGTCAAATGTACTGAAATACATTTTTGAATTATCGTGTATATACGTCGAACGCAGTTAACTAGTTAAAAAGTATGTGATTTAAATTGATTAAAACCTTTTTTTACTATTAGTAACTATTATCAACAACAGAAATTGATTCTGATTGTAAATGAATATTATCAATAATGAAAACTTAATTTTGGTTGTCAATCGATATAAATGATCACAGTTCTTTTTTGGTTATCAATAACTGTTATCGATTGCCAGAATTTTATCCTGGATGAATTGGTCTTCTTGGTCACTGCACGATTTTTCTAATAACTGTTAAGATGTTTGATTATAAGAAAAAGTTCAATTGGTAGTATATAATTGTAGGAAATATTAAAAATTGACAAATTATTTTGTCCTCAGAAGTAAAAATTATGATCACTTTAATCTGTTTGCCATCGAATACCTTTCAAATCTGACTTCGACACTAACTAACATTTCAATCTTTCGTGCATTGCATAGTTAACATGTAAAATATTTGTAAAATTTGTTAATACTCACAATACAAAATTTAACAACTGCATAGTAAACCGCCGAGGTAGTGATAATTCATTTTGTACTGTTATTAACCCTTATTTGCATTCTGCTCCAATTATGACATATAAAATATTATGACATACAATTCTAATATTTTGTCAAACGTAAATGAACTGAAAATTTTATAATCACTAAAATTATTAAAAATGTATTCTATCTTCCGAAACTACAATTTTTGTTGAAAGTTAAAAAATAGTTTTTTAATAAACTGGAAAGTTATTACGATAAATCAAGACATAAATCTTTATAATTGTTATCATTGTTTTGTATTTTATGGAAAGATTTATTTATAAAATGTTTCTTTGTATAAACTGTTAAAACAAAAAATATTTATTTTTTTTTATTATTACTTCCAAAAATTTAAACATATAAATTATTTAAATCGAAAATATCACGCAACAGAAGGTTAATTCAATTTTCTGAACTTTCATAAAACTGACATTAAAAAAAAATTTCTGTAAAACTTCAAAATATTGGCGTAATTGAACCTAATTTAATTCAAAATTGTACTGTTACAACAAATTAGTAATTATCAGATCAGGTTGAATTATTAAATCATCATAAGTGTTAACCCATATGTGTCACATATTCAGGTCAAGGTCATCAAAGCTGCCATTTCAAGCGCTAATTTTATTCTAAATTTTATACCATTCCGTTAAATTCATTGCATACTGTATGGAACACTTTCGTTCCAAAATTGATATGTTTTATTTTATTTGATATATTTATAGATATGTTTCTTAAATCTGGATTATAATTATAATTAGTAAAACCGCAGTCCACAAATGTAAATATTTTTGCAGCAATAATTCACAGGTAGCAAAATTTTGATTCATCAATTAAATCAATGTAATATCAAATTGTGACTCTAACACATAATTGACATTACAATAATTATCTGATAAACATAACAACTTCTGTATTTTTATGTACAGGACTTTTTTTATTTTATTTTTATCGTCGTCTTGATGACATGTAGCATTAGAAACCTGGTGAAGCTTGTATACTGCTTCAGTGTAATATGGTCTAAGGAACAAGTTAATACAATGAAATCTCTGTTTCTATGTCAATTTGGTAAATTATTCGCAAGAAAGAATCCTCGTATTCATGGAAAATTTAAATTACAGTGACTAACTTTCGCGTACGTGCTGCATAATTTTTTACTGAATTAAGTTATTTTCGTGAAGAAGACACCTCGAAACGTAAGAGGACAAAGTATCTGCTAGCAACGGATTCGCTAACAAAAATGGAAGGAATATATGTATAAGCCGAAGTTCATATTTGTCCGATTCAGAGCCATCGGCGGATCAGAACACCGAGAGTCCCACGCGCGAAACGCTTCATGCGCACGCAATCGTCATACATGAATGTGAAGTATGTTGTAAATCGTATCGTATCATGATTACTATGTACATGTAAGTTTACAAATGAGTCCGTCCCCGTAGACGCGTTCGAGCTAACGGAAAGCTGGCATTTCGCCTTACATGGCCAGCCTCTCGAACGGTACCCCGGGGGTGGTGGTCGACTGGATAGTTTCCGGCGTGTCGAACCTGTCGCTGTCGTCTACGTTGCCGACTTCGTCGACCGATTTATTCCCCTCGTCGTGTAACCCAAACGAGCTAATCGTTCCGGTAACTTCGATCGAGATGGTCGAATCGATCGTGGCAGTCACGTGTTCATTCGAAAATGTCGAAGACGCGTCTTCGTCGATTGGCAAGGATTCGAACAATGATCTCGAGGCATCGTCCGCATTCTCGGAGGACAGACTCGAATTTCGGAAAGATCGATCGGAAACGGTCTCAGGAACTTTCACGGTCACCGACTGATCGGTACGATCAGGATTCATGGTGGTCTCGTATGTGTTCGCGCTAACGGTACGGTTAATCGTCTTCGTACGATTTCTCGCGAAAGCTTTCCCTACCCTACGAGGATTCCCGGAAGAGTCGTTTTTCCGCGAGGAAGCCTGCTTGCCTCTGCGCCTAGGCAAGATTCCTCTCCCTGAAGGGTCGGTTGACGCACCAGGAGACCACCAAGAGGAGGAGGACGTTGCGAAGATCGGTACGGGAGTTGCCGTGAGCACCGCAGACGTGTTGTCCGTTTTGCCAGGCATGAACCTCTTCCGGGGCAGAGGCACCGCTGGGTTCCTCCTCGCCGCTGCCGGGCCCTTCTTCTTTTTCTTCTTCCCGTCCGTCAAATTAGGCTTTTTACTTTGACTCATGCTGCCAGCGGCGTGTACTTTTTTTGCGTTTGACGCTGGTGCTTTGCTCTTACCGTTGCTGTTCCCGGTGACATTCCTGCCGACCGTTGCTGCCACCTCGGCTGCATCTTGGACCCGCAGCTTCCGTTTCTTAGACGGGACCGAGAGAGCCTCTCTACGGCAGGCCTCCTCGCTAGCTGCTCCTTCGCAGGATCTCTTTGACTCCGGTGAAGTCCCGTTCAAAGGGAGACCCTCGCTTCTAGCCGGATGCATCGAGCTCGCGTCATCCTTCTCCTCCGCGATTTGGCACTGAGGACCTGGCTTCTCGCCCGGTCTGCATCGCCGCTTCCTCTTCTTCCTCTTCTTCCGTTTGCGACACCTAAACTTGTCTCTGCCGTCCTTTTCCTGTACTGGAAGAGTGGGACAGAGCGATTGCTGGATCAAATCGCCGCGATGAAGGTTGTGTCGATGACGAATGTTGTGCTGTGCCTTCGAAGTCAACATTCGCCTTTGAAGCGCATCGACCCGCTCCGATGGAGCGACCTGAGTTAATACTCGCGCGTAGGCGGACAGTCTGCCCAGGTTGTGACCTTTCGCCTGTACCCTCCTCGGCTGTCCACGTCGGTTTAAGCCGAGATAGAGCGTCTTCTTCGCCGTGGACCATTTTGCCGAACTGTACGTGTTGTAGTTGTGCTGCTCGAGGGTCTCGTTGAACACGCAGTCGTCGGTGTACTCCCGCTGTAACAGAATACAGAAAATATTTAAATGGCGATTGAAATGGCGAAAATATTTAAATGTTCGCATTTGGAGAAATTCTTGTGATTTAAGTTGCTAATGCTTTTATTCTCAATATGAATTATAGTCGACATTTCTGCGAGGATCTGTAGATGCGAATGTTGGCTATAGTCAGGATCTCTGAATACTAATTCTGATTATAGTTTATGATTATGTAATGATTACCATGTTTATTGTCATACTGTTGCAGTTGTAAATTTTATTGGATGATATTTTCATTTGCAACAAATTTTGCTAAATATTTGCACAATATTTTTATATACATATTTATTATTCATAGTTTTATATAGTTAATACGAATATTTCCAGTTAGCGACAAAATTCTTAATACTACAGGTGATAGATTTGTATGAAAATTTGACGTGGCATGTAAGATTCATTAGTATCAATTGTGCCAATATTTCATATCTGTCTTAGTTTTAAATATTGTTTTTGTGACGAAATATATCGTGAATGAAGATTTTATCTCAAACGTTTGGGTAAAACATTTTAAATTCTAATGAATATATTTTATTACGTACGTAACATATTTTATTATATAAATAACAAAGGAGTATGTTGCAGCTATCTTTTCACATTTTTACAAGGCAATAGACCGAGGATTTCGAATTGACCGTACCGGCAATAAGTTTATGAAGCCATTGACCATTTTTCGTTAGCAAAAAATACCTTCGCGTCGGCAACCCAAGTTTATTGCTTGGGATCAGCATGTTTAATTTCCAAACCCGTTATGTTCAATCATCGTAGTCAGGGTCAGAGTGCTTTTTCGCCTTATTATCTGCTACGGGTTTTTCCCAAATTACGGAATCCCTCGTGCGTCACCGCTTGGTCGCGGCTACTTCCAGGGGTTGCCATTTCTTGTACGAGGGCGGTAACTTCTTAAAAATCACGACCAATGAACAAACACACCCCCTTCCAAATCACCAATTCCGAGGTAACGTCGATAGTTACTTTTGCGGAAAAGGACAGAACACACTTATATCTCGAACAGTAATCATTTAAAACACGAAACGAACTCATTAATATCACGAATCATAAACACTTAAAACACGAACGAATCCGACTGATATCTCAAACAACGAACGTTATAGCATGAACCGAATCAACTTATAACACGAATTAACAACTTATAACACGGACTATCAATTGGAATCAGGCTCAGAGCTCATTAAGTTGTGACTGGGTCAGAATAGTGTCGGGTGCTCGAATCCGCGCTGTTCACGCAACAGAGTAGCTAAATATTTTGCTTGATCATCAAAAGTTCGAGTTTACAAATATCTCTCGAATATTCTATTTCAACAAATTACCCTTACAGAAGCGATTGTGTAAAAAAATATTAAATACAAATGTAAAGTCTAAAAAGAGAAATAAAATGATGACCTTAAACTTGATCGGATAAAGAATATTTCGAAAAACTTATAGACGCTTATGTCCGAACAGACTTCAAACAGGGAAGAATCGAAAGGATATTTCATGACTCAGCGATAATTATTAATCGAAAAGACCAAGTATTCGTCATTATCACGTTGTAATTACGTCGTTCGAGCGTCGAACGTAAAAGCGGTGATGCTCTGAATCGTCTTCACGTTTAACACACAATTTCCATTTCGACGAGCTCAATTTGAAGCAGACCTCGAAACGGGGTAAATGCCGAGTAAAGTATTAATGGTGTTTCCCGATGGAAGCTAAATGAGCATTAAGCATACAGCGGAACCAGCCAGACCGGTGAGCAATGCCGCACACCGAGCATTATGTTTTCGCTGACGTTATGCCGCGCTATGATTTCACTGTCCGCTTTATGGTAACTCGTTTCTAGACGAGCGGAAGCAGCCGTGCTCTTCATCGGCTCTAATTACAGCGTTTATCTGACGCTTAGCAGAAAAATCCTGGAGAGCGTAAAGATTACTGCGGTGCAACGAAAAACTGAAAAACTCACTTGTCTTTACGACGCCGAAACGGAGTTGAAATAGATTACATCGTTCACGCGTTTCTTTTCGATTTTACGTAGAATAATATCGCATACTAAATTTCACCCTTTTCAACTGGGAGGGTAGTTGCGATCGAAATTAGGGTTATCGAATTTCACTCTATTTTCCATATACCGAAAAAATTCCAGAACAAAGTATGACAAAGTTTGTTAGAGAATTGTTTGAGATTTTTTGTTGCAAATCTAGGGCGCAAAAAATAAAAAGCTAAAAGTTTCAAGAGATAGAAATTTTATATGGAAATTTTAGAGTGACAACTTCTTTACGACAGAAAGATATTTTCCACTTTTTCGACATATTTTTGGTAAAAAACTTAATAATGGCAAGTCTTTTATTCCCTTTATAAAATGGGAAAATTGTGTGATTTTCAATATTTTTGTTTTCAGTTTGATAATGTTTATGTAACTTAATTTTGTGATTTATTAAACTTGTACAAATTAATAAATATATCATTTATTATAATAACATAATGATTCAGTACAGAAATATTTAACTAGGATATTATTTTAGTCACACTGTAACAGCATCAGAGAACATCCGATCAAATTAAATAATTCGCACCGACATGTTGTTATGACTATTGAATCGTAAATTGAAGACTTAACTTTGAATTTGTGTTGTTGAATGTTGGGCTCAACTTCTACCCAGTTAACAATTCAAGTTTAAGAGTTCGCTAGTTGCAGTTGATTTTGCACTAGTTTCCTTGCAATTATGTGTTAAAGAATGATTTAATCGAGAAATATAATGTTGAAGGTAGAAATAATTATTTTAAAACACAGATACATAATTTTATACATCTTACAGAATGCAAAAGTTCTTTTTTTATATATTGGGTAAGTTGTAATAAAATATATTCAATTTCGTTATATTAATGTACAACTATTTTTCGAAATATCTACTTATCAAGAATATTCTAACTTTAATGAACTTAAAACTTTAAACTCGCAAATACCAAAACTTCTAAATTGTAAAATATTTGAAATTTATATCGCAAGGTATCAAAATTTCAATATTTTGAAATCGCAAAGTTTCTAAATTTGCAAATTCTCAAAACTACGAAGTATAAAATTTCCAAATTCTTAAATTAAAAAATTTTCAGAATTTCAAATTGAAAAGTTTAAAAATTACTAAATTACAAAATTCTTAAAATCCCAAACTTTCCAATTTATAGAAAAGAAGTAAAAAATTCTCAAAATTACAAATTACACAAATTTTTAAAACTCCAAAATTAACAAAGGTTGTTTACTTATCTCCAAAATTCAAAAATCACAAATATTCGTCCTTTAATTTCTAAGGTAATGTAAGATCTCCAAATTTTGGAATTCCCAAATCGTCAAATTTTCAAATTTCTAAATTACAAATTCTCTAACTTACAAGTCTCCGAATACTAAAATTTTGAACTTTTTAAATTCCCTAATTCGTAATTTATCATGTGAATGTTAACGTGTTCCTTTCTTTTCCCATTATTTTTCTGTTATCACCATCTTCTTCAGCGATGGTTGCGTGTTCGTCGGAGTACTGTAATTAATAAAATGCTATGAAAGACATTGTACTTTAAGAAAATGATTCAGTTTGTTGATTACAGGATGGTTTTCAGTCTAATAAATACAGGATTGATTTTGTATCTTCAAGATCAAGTAGTGCTCGCGTTAAGAATGGTACTTGAATACCGAAACGTTACATTTAAAGAGATTTTTATGCAAATGAAGTTGCAGTGATTATAGAGGATACGCTTACTGCAAGCTTAGCTATGGTTTCAGGCTATTTAACAACGGAAATGATCATTCCAGTAATTATTCGGTATTATCAGAACGACTTGCGAAGGATACAATGTTTAATTTACTAAGAATACAAAATTCTTATTTCCACTCAAGCTTTCCACGAAAACATTTTATTTTGTGTATCATATTTTGATTTGTGACGATTCTAATTAATTAAGTATTTTTAATTTCCACAGTCAAATTTTGAAATGAAAGTCACAAGTTCTATCGCATTTTCATATAATTCTCGCTAAATTTTATTTGTTAAATAATGTGATTAGAGGTATTTCTTTTATGATCTATAATTTTGCAGTTTACATACAATTTACGATTTTGTATATAATTTATCTTTTTTTATGCAATGTATTTCAATACTCGTAAATTAAGCCGTTTATTTTGAAAGTGGCGCAAGTCCACATTTTAGTTGAACATATTACTAACAATACTGTAAAAAAATTGCAAATTGTATAATATTGGTGACCTCAATATGAGCGAGCACGTGCTGTAGGTCTGTCTAGATATTGTTGATTTGTATTATCAACTTGCAAGTATGTTCTAGTTCAGTTTCGAATACATATTTGACAAAGTTGACACGGTTCTTGTTTTAGTATTGGTGTGCAACTTTTTACAATTTCCTCTTCTTTGAAAATTAATTGCCAATTGTGGTTTATTTTATTAAAAGAAAATAGAAAATAAAAATACTTTTGTGGATAATAACATTACTCCAATGCAATCTTCATTTCTAAGAAGTGTTATTATTTTTATTGTGCATCATATGGAATGTTATATAAAACTCTCGATTTATTATCACAACAAGGAAAACCAAGTAATTTTTGAAATATAAAATAACATTTTCTGTATGAAGAAACTAGATCAACTACATTAGACAAATATAAGAACACGATGGAATGATTACCATATATGTATACCTCTCGTTTGTTATGAATGTTTTAAAATGTTCAATAAAATCTTCAACAAAATTAAATATATATATATATATATATATATATATATATATATATATATATATATATATATATATATATATATATATATATATATATATATATATATATATATATATATATATATATATATATATATATATATATATATATATATATATATATATATATATATATATATATATATATATATATATATATATATATATATATATATATATATATATATATAT